CCCCGCTTCGCGCGCTCCCTTCCGCGCGAGGTCTGGCCGTGCGCGGCGGGCGAGAGGCTGCCCCAGGTGCAGGCCGAGCAGCAAAGCTCGTGGCCTAGCGCGAGCCCACACCTGAGGCTTGGGGGACGGAGCCCGGTGGGGCTGCGAGGCGCGGAGGAGGGGGCGGCGGGGGAACCAGGGAGCCCGCCCTGCCTCCCTGGAAGGTGGGCTGGTGACTCTGCCTGGCCGTCTGGGGAGGCCCTGGCGGGAGGAGGGCACCCGGCGGGGAGGTTCCTTCTCCTAATCTTTAGGGGGATGGCTCATCCCGGGTTCAACTCGGGCCCATCCTGTTTGTGCGCCTTTCCTGCGGAGAGTAATTACACGGGGCTGTTTTTTTTAATAGGGCAGTAGTAATGATGGAAATCCTGTCGGCCGCCTTCCTCCGAGAGGTGTGTCCTGTTGCACAAAGAGCAGGAAAGGTTGGTTCTGAAGACAGACATGGCCGAGATGTAAGTCTTCCTTTGCGCGGCGGTTTCTGTCCACCCAGCGCTGGACGGCAGACGCAGGGGAGACCTGCACACACGCTCCGTCCCTGACACAGGTGCACCGGGTTGTTGCTGTGTTTGCGAGTCAGAGTGTTTCTTCCCACTCGTGGCCCCAGCAGTTTTTGTCTACTCTCTATTGCAAATCTGGCTTCTTGAGGACCAGCCACAACCCATTTGTCTCCCATAAAGCCTAGGCCATTCTTAAGATGCTTAATTCCACTCTGTTTGGCTATTCAGGTTCCCTTGGGAGCAGATGGGTCCTTCTAGCCCCCTTGACCCAGGGCCCTGGTGGGCTCTCAAACTGAGTAGGTTCTCACAATTTCAAGCCAGTGAATGGAGGCTCACTATAGACTGAAAGCAAGAAGGATGGGCCAGTGGGGGAGGGCCTGTCTTAAAAGACCAAGACTTCCTAAAGAGAACAGGGCAGGAATGCAGCACATCACCCTAATGACACCTTAGCTCTAGGCAGGGCTTGCCAAGCAAGCTCCCAAACATCCAGGGAGTTCCTGTTTGGCTCTTGTGCCCAGGGGAAGAGGTCAAGGAGACCACTTGGGTCAACTCTGTCACCCTCTCCTCCAAAGAGTGGGACTCTAGTTTTAAGAACCACTGGAGGGTGTGCTGCTGTTGGACTTTGACACTGAAAGAAGACAGTCCCCAAATGGTGGGCAGCTACATGGCTGTTCTGGGGTTGAGATGTGAGGGACGCAGGCCGTCTCTGCCCCATCTCAGCACTAGGCATGGGTAGGCAGTGGTGACAGAGCAGAGAGCAGGACAGCCATGGTGCCTGCGCTCCTGGGGCTTCCTGTCTCACAGGGGGGAGAAACTACAAGTAGATCAAACAGGGTTGGGGGGGAGTGAAGGAAAACCCAGCAGTGTGGTGGGACAATGGATCCTGGACAGGGTGGTCAGGGAAAGGCCCCTGAAGAAGCACACAGAAGGTTCAGCTTAATCGGGGTTCCTGAGGAAAGGGACAGTTTGACCTGTTTGGGGAACAAGGAGGACTCCATGTGGCTGGAGCCAAGACAGGTTAGGGGAGAGTGGCTGAAACGAGCCTGAGAAGGTGGGTCGGGGTCCAAGACTGTCCAGACTGGTAAGTCATGGGGAAATCTTCGGACATTATCTATGGGCAACTGAAAGCCTCAGAAGGCTGTTCAGCAGGGCCAGGACAGGACGAGATTTGTGTTTTTAAATATCTGTGTTGAAAAATGGGTTGGAAGGAGCAACCATGGGTAAGTAGAGACCAGTTAGGAGGCTGTTGCCAAAGTCCAGAGGAGAGAAGACAGTGACTGGGCTTAGGTGGTGGTGATGGAGATGGAGATAAGTGTATGGGTGTAAGAAGTGTCTAGGAGGTAGACTTGACAGGTCCTGGTGACATGGAGGGAACGAGGAAGGGGAAAGTATCGAGGAAGGCTTGCAGGAATCCAGCGTGAGCAACTGTGTGCCTCGGGGAGCCATGAGCAATTAGGAAACTCTGGAGGAGCAGACTTGTGGAGGGAGATGAAGAGTTCACTTCCAAACATGCCAAGTTTGATATCTCTTTAATATACAGTTAAGTGGAAATCTGAAGTGGGCCGTTGGCTATGTGGTTCTGAAGCTCAGAGATACATTCTGAGCTAAAGACATAAATTGAGGAGCCAGCAGTATGTAGATGGCAATGGAAGCTAGGACGCTGGATGAGACCCCTGTTACCAGAACAGATAGGAAGAGAGCGTAGCATGAGAAAAGAAGGGGGCCTAGGGCAGAGCTCTGCAGAAACCCTAACATTACAGATGGAGGAGAGAGGGGCAAGAGAGTTGAGAAGGAGCAGCCAGCGAGGTGAGAGAAAAGCAAGGGGGATGTGCTGCTCAGTTATTGTGGAAACCAAAAAGTTTTCAAGCATAAAGGAATCGGTCAGCTGGGTCAAATGATGCCGAGAGATTGAGCAAGCGAGGACGAACGAAGGCCATATGGAGACGGCAGTGGACAGGTTCTTGGTCATCTTTGAGCTGGTTCAGTAGCAGGGTGGGAGCTAAAGCCTGTCTGGAGTAGGTTAAGGTAAAAAAAGAAAAAGAAAGTGGAGAGAGTAGACAATCTTTCAAGAAGTTTGGCTGGAATAGGAAGGAAGATGGAATCACTAGATGGAGGGCTTTTCAGCGTGGGTGAGCAATACAAGGGAGGAGAGAGATCATACAGTTCTGAGACTGCAGGAGGGAATGCCAGCCAAGGCGCAGGTGAAGAAATGGGCTCGAGTTTAAAAAGAAACATCTGTGTTTGTGGTTCTCAGCCCACTGTCCAAAGTTGCCTCCATACAACCGGGGGAGGTAGTCACCAGCAGCCACAACTTCCAGATTTCCAGCTTCACAGCCCCAGTGGAATGAAGTTTTTCTCTACCAGCATCCTTAAATCGATCTAGGGGAAGATTCTGATTGTCACCAGCCTATGTCATATGTTATTAAGTGGCTCCTGGGGGACTAGGCAGCTAGTAGCGCACAGTTCAAGGTCCCTGTAAGAGAGGACAGTCTGCCAATACAAACCTCACCTATGTTATAACTTTTATTCAGAGCTGGTCCTTACTTTTAAGGAAGGCAGGGAGGCAAGAAGTCCCCTCTCTCTATATCCCATCCTGCTTACTAGCAACTTGTATACAATGCAGTATAGCAACTTGCATACTTGTATCGCCCGTTTTAAAATCTGTAGTAGAGGTCCTTTTGTAGACTAGAGGTTGTTGTTTTTTCTTTATCACTATTAGTGTTTCTTGTCTTAGTCACACCTTAGTAACTTTGGACTTCTCCATAAACAATTCCCAGTACAAATTCTAAATGCTTTTCTGATTGATTGAATCACTGCTATTTTTCTCATTCCTTAAGGAACATTTCACGTAACCTCCATTCCACTTTAAAATAGATTTAGAGAATTTTAGAGACTAATACAGCCAGGTCAAAAATTAGCCCATGTTACCATGAAAGGGCACAGCCTGTGGAGGGCGTTTGACAGCATACATCGACACTTCAAAGTAAGAAAGTTATTTTCCTGAAAAAGTCCAGCAATTATGGAAGGACTAAGTAAATTACAGAACAGCACCTCAGTGGAACAGTACCTGGTTGTTAAAATGACATATGGCAAACAACATAGACAAAAACAATAGTCAACAGCATTTTCAAAATGTAAAATAAGCTATGTAAATCTGCTATGCAGTACATAAAATATGTATACCAAATGATAAAGACTGGAATGCAACACAGGTCAATGAAAGCAGTTTTTAGAGTGCTAGACTCACACACAGATAATAAACATGCTTATCTAAAAGGACTCTGAAGAGGAAATAATTCGCATAAAGCATGTGATACATTGCCAAGCACATGCTAGGTGTCAGCTGTTACCTTGGCTATCATACTGTTAT